CAGTTTCCGGTCAGGCCTGCACTTGCTATGACGATCAACAAAGCGCAAGGACAGTCTCTACGAACAGTAGGAGTAGACCTGGAAACTCCCTGTTTTTCGCATGGTCAACTGTACGTGGCGTGTTCGAGGGTCGGGAGTCCGGCGAACCTGTACATATATGCGCCCGAAGGGAGCATGGCTAACGTAGTGTATCCCAGGGCGCTAACATAATTGCATGCTGTAGTATAGTACAGTATTTATTTGTTGCATGCCATTCTATTGGAAAATCCAAAAAAATTGGAAAATACAAAATCCAAAAAAATGGCAAAACGAAAACCCAAAAAAATGGCAAAACGAAAACTCAAAAAAACGGAGGCCAGCGGCGATCAGGGCAGGTGGGTGGGACAAACAAGAAGCTGGACAGATCCAGTCGAGCTTCCCTCCTTACTGATGAGTTCCGGGGAAAGCCTAGGACCTGTTTAGCCAAACCGTCTGAGGGTAGGAACGAAACGGTACATCCTCTTCTTGAGGAACGAAACGGAAGGACGACTATCGGCATCGGCTGCCTCTGTTGAGGACAACCATCGGTACAACCATCGGTACAACCATCGGTTGCCTCTGTTGAGGACAACCATCGTACCAATTATCGGTTGTCTCTATCGAAGACAGCCATCGGTTGCCTCACTTGGAGGACAACCATCGGTTGCCTCACTCGGAGGACAACCATCGGATGTCTATCGAGGACAGCCATCGGTTGCCTCACTTGGAGGATAACCATCGGTACAACCATCGGTTGCCTCTGTTGAGGACAACCATCGGTACAACCATCGGTTGCCTCTGTTGAGGACAGCCATCGGTACAACCATCGGTTGCCTCTGTTGAGGACAACCATCGGTACAACCATCGGTTGCCTCTGTTGAGGACAACCATCGGTACAACCATCGGTTGCCTCCGTTGAGGACAACCATCGGTACAACCATCGGTTGCCTCCGTTGAGGACAACCATCGGTATAACCATCGGTTGCCGCTGTTGAGGACAACCATCGGTTGCCTCTGTTGAGGACAACCATGGTACCAACCATCGGTTGCCTCCGTTGAGGACAACCATCGGTATAACCATCGGTTGCCTCTGTTGAGGACAATCATCGGTTGCCTCACTCGGAGGACAACCATCGGATGTCTATCGAGGACAGCCATCGGTTGCCTCACTTGGAGGACAACCATCAAATGTCTATCGAGGACAGCAATCGGTTGCCTCACTTGGAGGACAACCATCGGTTGCCTCACTCGGAGGACAACCATCGGATGTCTATCGAGGACAGCCATCGGTTGCCTCACTTGGAGGACAACCATCGGTACAACCATCGGTTGCCTCTGTTGAGGACAACCATCGGTACAACCATCGGTTGCCTCCGTTGAGGACAACCATCGGTTGCCTCTGTTGAGGACAACCATCGGTACAACCATCGGTTGCTTCTGTTGAGGACAACCATCGGTACAACCATCGGTTGCCTCCGTTGAACAACCATCGGTACAACCATCGGTTGCCTCTGTTGAGGACAACCATCGGTACAACCATCGGTTGCCTCCGTTGAGGACAACCATTGGTTGCCTCTGTTGAGGACAACCATCGGTACAACCATCGGTTGCCTCTCTTGAGGACAACCATCGGTACAACATCGGTTTCCTCTGTTGAGGACAACCATCGGTACAACCATCGGTTGCCTCTGTTGAGGACAACCATCGGTACAACCATCGGTTGCCTCTGTTGAGGACAACCATCGGTACAACCATCGGTTGCCTCTGTTGAGGACAACCATCGGTACAACCATCGGTTGCCTCCGTTGAGGACAACCATCGGTACAACCATCGGTTGCCTCTCTTGAGGACAACCATCGGTACAACATCGGTTTCCTCTGTTGAGGACAACCATCGGTACAACCATCGGTTGCCTCTGTTGAGGACAACCATCGGTACAACCATCGGTTGCCTCTGTTGAGGACAACCATCGGTACAACCATCGGTTGCCTCCGTTGAGGACAACCATCGGTTGCCTCACTTGGAGGACAACCATCGGTTGCCTCACTCGGAGGACAACCATCGGATGTCTATCGAGGACAGCCATCGGTTGCCTCACTTGGAGGATAACCATCGGTACAACCATCGGTTGCCTCTGTTGAGGACAACCATCGGTACAACCATCGGTTGCCTCTGTTGAGGACAGCCATCGGTACAACCATCGGTTGCCTCTGTTGAGGACAACCATCGGTACAACCATCGGTTGCCTCTGTTGAGGACAACCATCGGTACAACCATCGGTTGCCTCCGTTGAGGACAACCATCGGTACAACCATCGGTTGCCTCCGTTGAGGACAACCATCGGTATAACCATCGGTTGCCGCTGTTGAGGACAACCATCGGTTGCCTCTGTTGAGGACAACCATGGTACCAACCATCGGTTGCCTCCGTTGAGGACAACCATCGGTATAACCATCGGTTGCCTCTGTTGAGGACAACCATCGGTTGCCTCACTCGAAGGACAACCATCGGATGTCTATCGAGGACAGCCATCGGTTGCCTCACTTGGAGGACAACCATCAAATGTCTATCGAGGACAGCAATCGGTTGCCTCACTTGGAGGACAACCATCGGTTGCCTCACTCGGAGGACAACCATCGGATGTCTATCGAGGACAGCCATCGGTTGCCTCACTTGGAGGACAACCATCAAATGTCTATCGAGGACAGCAATCGGTTGCCTCACTTGGAGGACAACCATCGGTACAGCCATCGGTTGCCTCTCTTGAGGACAACCATCGGTACAACCATCGGTTGCCTCTGTTGAGGACAACCATCGGTACAACCATCGGTTGCCTCTCTTGAGGACAACCATCGGTACAACCATCGGTTGACTCTGTTGAGGACAACCATCGGTACAACCATCGGTTGCCTCTGTTGAGGACAACCATCGTACCAACCATCGGTCTCTGTTGAGGACAACCATCGGTACAACCATCGGTTGACTCTGTTGAGGACAACCATCGGTACAACCATCGGTTGCCTCTGTTGAGAACAGCCATCGGTTGCCTCTGTTGAAAAGCCATGGGTTGTCTCTATCGACGACAACCATCGGTTGTCTCTATCGAAGACAGCCATCGGTTGCCTCACTTGGAGGATAACCATCGGTTGCTTCACTCGGAGGACAACCATCGGATGTCTATCGAGGACAGCCATCGGTTGCCTCACTTGGAGGACAACCATCGGTACAACCATCGGTTGCCTCTGTTGAGGACAACCATCGGTACAACCATCGGTTGCCTCCGTTGAGGACAACCATCGGTTGCCTCTGTTGAGGACAACCATCGGTACAACCATCGGTTGCCTCTGTTGAGGACAACCATCGGTACAACCATCGGTTGCCTCCGTTGAACAACCATCGGTACAACCATTGGTTGCCTCTGTTGAGGACAACCATCGGTACAACCATCGGTTGCCTCTGTTGAGGACAACCATCGGTACAACCATCGGTTGCCTCTGTTGAGGACAACCATCGGTACAACCATCGGTTGCCTCTGTTGAGGACAACCATCGGTACAACCATCGGTTGCCTCTGTTGAGGACAACCATCGGTACAACCATCGGTTGCCTCTGTTGAGGACAAACATCGGTACAACCATCGGTTGCCTCCGTTGAGGACAACCATCGGTTGCCTCGGTTGAGGACAACCATCGGTACAACCATCGGTTGCCTCCGTTGAGGACAACCATCGGTTGCCTCTGTTGAGGCCAACCATCGGTACAACCATCGGTTGCCTCTCTTGAGGACAACCATCGGTACAACCATCGGTTGCCTCTCTTGAGGACAACCATCGGTACAACTGTCGTTGCCTGTGTTGAGGACAACCATCGGTTGCCTCTGTTGAGGACAACCATTGGTTGCCTCTGTTAAGGACAACCATCGGTTGCCTCTGTTGAGGACAACCATCGGTTGCCTATGTTGAAAACAACCACAATTAAAGAGCCAAAGTTGTTTTCTCTTCTTGAGGAATATAACTTCGTTTTTTTACCGAAGTGTATGTGGCGCCGGGCGGAGCCGGGTAAGCCAGCTATAAATAATGTGTTGCTAATGTGTGAGAAAGACCAACAATTTGAATGAAATATACAGTGGGGGCTTTGCGTGGGGACCTCCAAATCGATGAGGCCCATTTGAGCCGAAGTTGTACTCCTCTTTTTGAGGAATACAACTTCGGCTTTTTTTACCGAAGTGTATGTGGCGCCGGGCGGAGCCGGGTAAGCCAGCTAGTTATAAATAAGTCATAATCAAACTCGCGTGTGCACAGCTCAATGTGTAACGAAACGCAACGATGTTTCTTGTGAAAATTCCGAATGTCTTTGATAATGGTAGAAAACAATCTGTTACAATCTTTTACACAACAAAAATCATTAATTTTATCAACAAAAAAATTTTTTGTTGGTACTGTTTTCTTGCAATTGTGCTTGAAGTTATTCTAAGGTCTCAAGCAGGAATTCAAGTATTTTTTTATGGAGATGTCAATAAATTCTAAGTCCTTATCGTTTTCAAACCACAGCTGCGTTGTGAGTCTATTCGCCATATATAGTAAGTGACTTGAACTCTATTTTCCTTGGATGTTTCCAATGCTTTACTGAAGGAGTATGAGACTATGAATTGAGCAGCACAAGCTAATGTTATTGAATTAATATTACTAGTCTGATAATCTTCATAACCAAAATGTAATTGCTAAGTTTCCCTTTCGCCTTTTTTCATCAACGCATCTTCCTTTCAGAAAGCTTCCCTTACTTTTTAACAAATTCTATTATTCAAAAATTTAGAAACATTTTCTCATAGCCAACTATCCCAACGACTTTAAGATAAAAATCTTTTCGCTCCAGTCAAAGGGCACTTAGCTCTCATTTCCGTGAACACCTGTTTCTAGCGGCCAACTGTCCTCAACCATCATCCGCCTGGCTTTAAATCACTTAACGCTGATGGCAAAGCCACAAGATGATGGTGATTGATGGACCTTTGGTTGCTACTCTTGCTGCAGGTTCTCATCAAAATTGTTCACTGTAGGGTAGAAAGAGAGGGGGAGGGGGCATGTTGTGAGGCTTTTATTATGCAAGCTTTCATTGCTAGAGTGGCATTCAAACCCTTGAGAATAATAATAGCTAAAAATCTTCGTGTGATTTTGGGCAGACATAGCAGAACGCCATGCATACAGGGTGTCCCAAAAGTAAGTACACACCTTTCAATCGTTAATATCTCTCTTCCTATTGTGTTTTATTCCTCCATTTGAGTACCATTCTGTAGAGGAGGCTTCAACTTAGATTTTCGGTATTGAGCGAATCACCGATCGATCTTCATTACTATAGGATAACTTTAGAAGCTTTGATAAGGATTTAAGGTGAAAACCATATTGTGCGTCGGAGCAAAACCAAACAAGCCAAAAACTCTTATACTACAGCAATGGAAGCCGCTGATTTCGAATATGAAATTTTCACTTTAGAATAAGCTTAGCTTCTTTCCGAAGTTATCCCAAGTAAACCGTAATAACCGAATTTCCAGTATTTGTCAGAAATTTGATTACACCGTCAAAAAAGCTGAAAGCACTCGTAAAAAATGTATAGTGGAATCAGCGTGCACGAAAACTCTAGTACACGATTTTTTCAGACTTTTTGAAAAAAATTTTGTTAGATAGCATATTTCACAATGGTTCCACTTGCTGGAATTCTCAGCGTAATCCTACAGTAACAGAGAGCTATCAGTGATTCGCTCAATACTGTAACTCTAAGTTGAAAACTCCTTTACAGAATGGCACCTGACTGGCGAAAAAAGACCCATTAAGAGAGATATTGACGATTGAAAAGTGTGTACTTACTTTTGGGACACCTTGCATATAAAGTAATAAAATGTTATAAATTGCAGCGTGAAGGACAGCTCAAGAATTCTTGAAAGGTTTTTTAATTATTTATTTAACAAAAACCGCGGATTTTTGATTGAGTTTAACACGTAAAAATTTCAAAAATTCTAAAAGCTGCTTTTCAAAGCGAATTAAAATTGGTTATGTTGCATAAATAATGTTTAGTAAGATTCATGTTCCAATACGCAGAAATTCAGAAGCTTTCGTGTATTTGATGACAGTTGCATGTTTCATGAATTTGCCAAAAATCGAGACCTCCGGAGAAATAAATTTTTGAAGCTAAACACAGCAGATAAGAAAAATCTAAAAATACCATTTTGTAGTCCGAGAACTGCTCTATTTGGTTCAGACTCAACCCTTTTCGGAACTTTGGAATGAAATTTATAAAAAATAGCCTAGCTTTGAGCAGGTAAAATGACGGATGGAGAATTTTGACAATTATCAGAAAAGCATGCAAGATTGTGGCTCGAAAATCTTATATATAAAGCTGAATGTCTGTTTGTCGGTCTGTCTGTACGTATGTTCCGAATAGAAAATTCCATTTCTGAACCGATCTGGACCAATCTTGGCACACATACACTACGGGCCCCGGCGGGTGTCATAGGCTACTTTTCGTCATCGATCGATATCGATTTTATCGATTTTTTGCAAAGTTTGAGCTACGGGGCTGGGAGTTGGCACAGGGGGGTAATCGAGCATGCTGATCACCCCCGTTGGTCCGGATCGGTTAAGAAATGGAATTTTCTATTCGAAACATACGGCGGAGCCGGGTAAGCCAGCTAGTGTTTTTATAAGAAAGAGAAGGAAAGCCGCATCGAATGCATTTTGAAACAGCTCAGGTCTTTATTTGCGTGGTTTTACAATGGTTTGAAAAAACCGACAAAACTTTCGGGACAACTTATATACTCATTCCTGCTTCTGTTGCAGTGAATTTAGCACAAGAGTGCTGAAATCAGTTTTACAAAGGAGTCAAGCATTAGCATTAGTTTTTCTATGTTTTCTTCCACTCCATTATGTTCAGCAATAGCTCTTGCAAAACAATAAAGCTCATTTTTTTGAATAACATAACTTTGAATGAAAAACTGCCAGAATTTTACGCAACTCAATTCCCTGATTTTCGCCGGGTACGACTTCGTAAAATAAAGACACTAGTTTTTTGATAATGAGCCTCGCTACGTAATGAAAAGCTTTACTCTTTCTCATTCCAAGACCTCGAGGTGTTCATGGCTGCTTCTGGAGGCGGTTCATTTCCTTGAAAAACCGGATGAAGAAATGATCTAATTCTTAATAATTAGAATGCAGTTAGTCACTTGCTTCAAGCACTTGCTCGAAAAACTTGCCGAACGCAATAAGAGCTTTGTTTATGCTTTTTAACCTCCCACACTAATTCCTTCTGCCTTCAAGATTTTCATATAAGCCTGCACAATTTCGCATGAATAGATCGCGTCTTTGATTGTTATTGTTTCGTTTATTCTGTAGTTTAAAGCAAGATTTAACCTTTTCCCTTTGACCTTTTGATTAGAGACTTCAGTCCAAAGAAGCTATGAACCAGAAAAAAGCACTAACGACGGCACCTGTAAAAGCATTTGATTGTTAGTGTCTTTGTTGATTACATTACCAGCTAGTAAAATAGTAGTAAACAATAGTCCGGTGATTAACAACGGCGATAAGCAAGGAATAACCAAGGGACAGTTACAATGGAATGTCTTCCAGTTTGCTGAACTGTGTAAAGGAATATGCGTGATAAGTTTAAGAGATGACGTTGGACGCTGACGACGAGAGTCAAAGCACAATGAATCAGAAGATTTATGATGAATTCAAAAATCAATAGCACAACTGCAAATGGAAAGTGCAACAAGCTCTAGTAAGAGAGCCAACAATGGAGACTTACCAATACCTTTAACGGGGATCACATAAGCAAGATCGAATTGCAGCTTGACCGGAGATCCTTCGCAATTGTCTAGCTTATCGTCACAGAGACATCGGAATTGGTCATCTACTTCCAAACATATTCCTCTTCGCATACACTCATTAGGACCGTATCCCCTGTCGACCGCGGTCATCTAAAAAAAATAATGGTTGCTCAAGTGTACCCGTCTGCGGAACATGGCTTGTATGAAGCAAATGGCACCTTAGTATAGTTATCTTACACATAAGATACTCGCGCCAAGACTCTCGGCCGCACAACCATTCCATTTCGCCTCTGGTGCGAGCCGCATGGATATTTATATTGCTGAAGTGCGCACAATAAAAGAGAAAAAAAGAAGATTTTAATCAAACCGTACCAAGATGGTGAATCATTGGCTTGTAAGCAGCTGGGCGCCAGCCGGAAACAAAGAAGAAATATAGCGTAGAAGAAACCACTGATCGTAGACCATACTCTGATGTTTTCTAAAACGCTTGATCAATAACGAGTAACCTCTAGAGCTTGAAAAAAATAAAGAGCAGGACACGGTTGCAGGGCGCCTTTCAGTACCCCGTAGACGTAAAGAATGTTTACTCTCCGAGGCTCTCATATGCAACACGCTTGTATTTGCACGGCGACAACTTCTCAGACAATCGGTGCCGTAGTCGCGCCGGACAGTTGAAATCTGGCAGAGTCGCGGCGGACCCAATTGACCATTGAAGCGGGGCGAGGGGGCGGTCCCTTCTTGTAGTTCACGGTGACGTCACAAACAGGCGAATGGGACCCTTCTCCGGATCTGCTCCGGAGTACGCCAGATTTGGGAGAGCCGCGGCGGAGAGATTTGCCCGCTGCGAGTGCGCCAGATTTGGCACACCTCCGAAGCAGAAAATGGCAGGGCTCCGGAGCACAAATGGGAGGTCTCCGAAGCATAAATGGGAGGGCCCCGGAGCAGAAAATGGGAGGGGTCCGGCGCACATATATGTATGCAGTCAATTTGCTGTGATACGCAGCTTAGCATTTTCGAAAATAAGTTGCCGTCGCTTTCGTCTTACTCTTTTTTCGTTCTTTCGCGCTCGTTTTTCTTTTTTTTTGGTTTTTCGAGTTCCTCGTCGGCGCATTGGCGTTTATTTGTTCATCTCCTTCTTTTGAGGTTTCAGGTTTTAGGTTTTCGTGCGGATACACTTAGTCACTTCTAGTGCTTGGCTCTTTTCGACTTGCTGAGACATCGTTGACTATTGATGGAGTGGTTTTTGTGATTAATTCTGGATTTTCGAAACAAAAAGTATATAATCCGAGTGAGTCTACTTTTTTTGTTTCGCACTTGTTCATGCTTGAGCTCCACGGCGGATTGCCTGTTCAAGTGTGTATGTGCGCTCAGAGTCGGCGTCATTCATTACATAATTTGCTACGTATCTTCCAAGATTCATGGTAAACGTTTAGACTTTTTAAGATGACCCCATATCGTTTACACATGATATCAGGAAGTATTTTACGCTTTTGAACTAGTTTTTGGTGCTATCTGTGATAAACTCCCTGACACAATAAATCAGCAAGCGTTTCATGTTTTTACGATAACTTCTGGTACTAGTCGTGGTCATTACTGTCCGTTCGATTTCTGAAAGGATATGCATCATACTTTACCATTTTTTCGATTTCAGCCTAATATTTCAACCTAATTATTTCAGATGTTAGATGGATTGTCTCTCGTGGAAATGACAGAGATTTCGAGCATCATACAAGAAGTGAACATGAAAAGGAATCTTTGTCCAGCGGACAGGACGAAGGAACGCCAAATCCAAAGGAAGCAAATAAGGATAAGCCCAAGGTGGACCCTGCTTTAAGTAAGATTTTGCTGGTACGAACCCATATATTGTGCACTGGGGTGGAGGACATTAGGTCGCCGAAAGAGGGCGGTCCTCGCGGTCATTTGCGACAAATACGCACCCTTGTACATACGCGGACATGCGTTCCTGCAGGGAATCCGCGCGGGACCTCTTCCACATTCGGCGACCTAATGTCCTCCACCCTGTGCACTGTAAAAGGACGTTTTGAGAAGCAATTTGAGTTTTTCTAAAGGCAATTCCTCTCCACTTGTGATGCATCTTATTGTAGGTCTGATTGAAACTCTCATCCAGTGGCTAAAAAATAGTATCGACTGGTAACATTCCAACTGATCGTTTCCATACTTCACTTTTGACTATGGTCGGTGCCAGAGTAAGCGAATATTTTGTTAAGGTCGGGGTCCCGCGCAGAATTGATGTCTCTCACTATGCTGGCGACAATCCAAGTGACGTCAATTCTGCGCGGGACCTCAACCTGAACAAAATATTCGCTTACTCTGGCACCTACCTATGAGTGCGACGCAAGCGTTCACCTTTTTATCAGTAGGCCTTTCTTCGCTCAGCTGCTTCAGTTCTGATCTAGTTTTTAGGTCTCTACAACAATCACGCGTGATTCTTATCACGCATAATGCGCGAGCATACTTCCGAACAATCGCTAGTGTGTACGAGACAAGCCAATAGACTAGTTTTTCACATCTTGGGCATACTCTTCTGTTGAGTTGGCTTAGTTCTTTCTCCACGTTGTTCTGAAAAGATGATCTGAAAACCTTCAGCTGAGCATCAGCTGAAGTACAAAGCGTATATGCAATTTCATTTATGAAAGCTGACCTTTTCAGTTCGAAAGCTGCGCATATATGTGCTGGTTGTGGGTTGCATGTCATTTGTAATGTCCATCTCGATTCTGTCCCAAATGAGCCTTGGTCACTGCCCGAGCACTTAACAAGTTACACTGAAATCCTTCTAACTCCATGCGCACTTTTTTACAGAGTGTAATTGTGAGTTTAGGCAGGGCATCGACATGAAGTCCTTTGTGAACAAGTATCTTGAGGCTGGAGAAGTGAGTGCTGACATCTTTTTGGGCATCTATCTCACGTCTGTGTAGCAGTCTTTATAGGTGCGAAGGATCATCTTTTGTCCTGACTATTCAAGGGCTGTAGCTTTCCTATATGAAGGTGCAATAATCGTTGGAAGAAAAGTAGCTACGTTAGTCAATCACATCAGTTACGTTACTTTTGTCTCCATCAATCTTTTCACAAATATTTTCCATTTGAGACAAGAGATCGTGGTAGTCGTGGCCTATCCAAAAATGCAACGCAGTTCTGGAGTGAAATTCGTAAGGAAGAGGAAGACATGTCGCTATCGCGAACGGGGTCAAGTTGGAAATGTATAAAGGTCTGATGACTTTCAGGTAAATTTTGTGAAAGCCCTTTTTTGTAATTCAAATGTTTGAGGGAAAAGGAGTGTTGCATAGTAAAGGCATCTAGAAACGTAATATATGTCTGGGGATTGTAGATTAACGTGAGAGGAAACGTCAGTATCTCATTTCCTAAACGGAAAACGTTTGCTTTCGATGTTTTCTCTAGCAGGACACTCAAGGCGAGCGGGGTATCTTTCAGTAGCATCATCACTGCTTTTCTTCACTGTTATGATGTCTGCCTTATATTACATCGTGGACTTCATTTCTCAACCGAGACCTATTCTGTGCGAGTTTCCTCATTGTTTCGTGCTGTCCTTTTTGTGTCGTGTTTTTCCAAGAAATCTAACTCACTACACTTACTTCGCTTATGTTTTCGCTTAGGGTACGGCCATAGGTTGCCGGCAACTGTTGTCTTTGTTGTCCGTTTTGTAGCTGCTAAGTTTTGTTTTGCAATTTGCAGGAGATTGTTTGCAGTTAATTTGAAATAAATGTCTTGTCTCTTCATTCTTTCTTCTATATTCTATCCACAAACGCTAGGGGTGAGAGGGAGGGGGTAAAGAACGTTGAGGGCCGCGCTGAAGTCCTACCCGGGGGGGGGGGGTCGTATTCGGCTAATTTGGGTGGGGTTTAGAGACAAAATTGGGGTTTGGAGCTTAATTAGGGCTAGTTACAGTATGCCGCGGCAGCCTTCCGCAGCACAAATGGGAGGTCTCCGGAGCACAAATGGGAGGGCTCCGGAGCACGAGTGGCAATGCTTAGCTGGGGAAACCCCGCGGCTCGGCCATTTCTGCTCCGGAGGTATGCCGTCGACTGTCTGAGTAGTTGATAGAAGGTTCTTTCCGGTGTAATTCGCTCTGACTTTGGATGCGTCCGGTTCCGGCAGGTGTGCAATTTGTTTTTTGAGTATGCTTTTGCTTCAATTTTTTCTTGGCTATCGGTGCATATGTAACTTGTATTTTACTATTTCGCAAGTTCGCCGGGATTCATTTGCGGGTTGAGTTTTTCTTGCTTTGATAATCGCTCACATCTTTTCAAATAAGACAGACTGCAAAAGAATGTGAGCGCGATAGGATACAATGTGCGGAACAGAACAATGACCACAAATGAATTGTGGCTAGTTGAACTGCATATTAGCGGTAATAAGAAGAAATAAGCGTAGAAGATGAAAAGAGTAGGCAGGAGCACTTAAAGTAGTAAGATTTTGACGATTTGCTCCTATAACAAAGGCGGCCAGCGGCGGCTATGGGCTGCCACGGGCTGCTGGCGACTGCTGACGGCGAGGTATGAAGGCACCCTAACAATATTGACTTTGTGTTCCAGTGCTCCTGGATGTTGTGATCTTTATGATACTGACGTTTCCGCGTCCTCGCCTTTATCAAGGCGTTTTTTGAAGTTTAAAATTATAATGTGTTCATTTAGACGGCGCATCCGAAGAGATCCATCCAAGAGATCAACTGAGATTACAGCACAGAATGAAAGCGAACCCGAAGAAGTGCTTACCGTGATACAGTTATTGTTGGAGCCAAGGCCACCCATACGAGAGAACAATGATAGGCACTGATTACAACGCGCACATTTATGCATTAAGGTCCCGCCAACGCAGCCCGCCAAAAAACCTCTTTCCTCCTGTAGTTCATCCTAGTCGTCACGTTTCTTGAATTTCTTTCCTTTTTTTAATTTCTTGAATTCAGGTTTATATTAGGTGGGTCCGAAAGTTTTGTCGAAAGAAGTGCTTACCGTGGTACAGTTATTGTTGAAGCCAAGGCCACCCATACGAGAGAACAATGATAGGCACTGATTACAACGCGCACATTTATGCATTAAGGACCCGCCAACGCAGCCCGCCAAAAAACATCTTTCCTCCTGTAGTTCATCCTAGTCGTCACGTTTCTTGAATTTTTTTTTCCTTTTTTTAATTTCTTGAATTCAGGTTTATATTAGGTGAGTCCGAAAGTTTTGTCGGTTTTTTCAATCAATCGCAAACACGCCAGAATGAAGATAAACAAATGCTCCAAAATGTATCCGATGCAGAATTTCTTCCTCTTTCCAGCTGCTAAACTTGCTTCATTGCGAGAGTGACGAGATATTTGCTAGAAATTACAACCACTCGTTTTTACCATGTCCAAGTTTCGCTAATTTTCATAATCTGGCAAAAGGTTTACCCCATCTGCTGGTTATTAGGTCTCCTCCGAAAGTCTCATACGAAAATTTTGAAAATTAGCGAAACTTGGACATGGTAAAAACGAGTGGTTGTAATTTCCAGCAAATATCTCGTCACTCTCGCAATAAAACACAATGGGAGTTCAGCTGCTGGAAAGAGAAAGAAATTCTGCATTAGGAGCATTTTGGAGCGTTTGTTTATCTTCATTCTAGCGTGTTTGCCGATGGATTGAAAAAACTGACAAAACTTTTGCACCGACCTAATATTATAGGAGAGGTTAAGCAAATGCCCATTTATACATGGTATCTTGTAGTGAAGCATGTTCACGAGTTCGCACTTCTGAGCTTTCTGGTCGATACTTACTTACTTAGATACTTAGATGGCCCGTCCTTACGTGACGTGCGGGCCCCAGTATAGAAGTTGCCATTTTTCCCTATCCCTCGCTTCAGACATCCACGATCTTCTTGGCCGTCGTCGGTGGCTGCGTCCACGAGTTCCAGGAACGAAAGTCGTATCCAACTGATTTCTCAGCTGGTCCATCCGTTTCACGAACACGTCTGCCCATCTCGTCGGTGGTCTTCCTTGGGGACGTTTCGCTTAGCCAGGAATCCACTCCGATGTTCTTAGTGTCCATCTGTCGTCTGTTCTGCTCATAATGTGACCGGCCCATCGATGTTTCGCCTTCGCAACGTATTCCGCTAAGTCATAAAGACGGAACTTTCTTTTTAGATCCGTACTGCGAAGTCCGACAAGGTGTTGCTTGTGTCGGGTCATCTTCAGAAGACTGCGCTCGAGCGCTCTTTGGGTGGTTGAAGCTTTTGACGTGGCTACAGTGTCGGGCCAAGTCTCAGCTGCGTAACAGAGCGCTGGGAGAACGGTTGGGTTGAACAGGTTGGCACGAAGCTCCGGGTCCGTCATTTGGTTGGTGGCTTCCTTCAAAGGCCCGAAGGCGGCCCAGGCTGCTTTACTTCTTATGTTAAGTTCTTCTCTCGTTCGTTCTCCATGTTTTTTGAACGTCGAGATACACCTAAGAAGACGTCTCCATGATAGGGTGCCTTCCATTTTCCATTGCTCATCTTCACAAAAGGCGTTTGTCATTAACTATAATAGGTCCTCTTCCAATTTATTCACAATCCAAACTTCCTTACTACTTTGTTAACTTTCTTCAGCATCGTCTCTGCTTCAGTGATATTGCACGAGAAGATAACGATGTCATCCGCAAAACTAAGGTTGAAAAATCTCCCATCAACTCGTAAGCTTCTCTCGTCTCAGTCCAGTAATTTCATCCACTGCAAGGTTGCGGTGAAAAGCTTCGGCGGAATAGTGTCGCCTTGTCGAACCCGCTTCCCGATTGGTATGGTCAGGGGGCGATGGCAGCTGCATCGTTGTTGTACAGTCCTTGTAGCAGTTGGCTAGTGTCCTCACGTAGGGTCCACTTCTTGATCGACTAGCGCTAAACAGAATGGCCTTGGTTTCGACGCTGTCGAATGCTTTCTCGTAGTCCACGAAGGTTAGGACGAAAGGCAGCCGGTACTCCCGGCAGACTTCTATGACCCTCGAAACGGTCTGGAGGTGGCCCATGCAGCTGAATCCTTTGCGAAATTCAGCTTGTTCGGTATGCGAGCGAGGATAATCTTCATGAAAAGTTTGTAGAGCATACTCAGCAGGCATATTGAACGGTAGCTTCAAAGATTCTCTTGTTTGCTCTTCTTAAAGAAAAGGATTGTTTTTTGATGTTATTCACTGAATGCGAGTCTTCTCCTTCTAAAGGTAGGATGTCATTCCGATATTACAACCTCATGTAGACGGTGTTCTCCTGCTCGCAGAACATCAGCTTCGGCGAAATATTGTCGCCTTGTCGAATTCCCTTCCCAATTGCAATGATCAGGGGCGCTGGAATAGCTGCATCGTTGCGGTGCTAGAATGTCATGTAGACAGCTAGTCCTCCGGCTCGCAGAAGTTCGAAGGAAAAATGATCTGGTTCTGGAGCTGTGGACTCTTCATGGTCTGTATCGCAATACGCACTTTAGCAGGTAGAATCCTTGGTGGTACTCCATTGAGAACAACGGGCGGGGTGTTGATGAGCGAAAAAGGTTGGTGTAAAAGTTCTTCGCAATAGATTCCATCTTATACCGGAAAGCAGTCGGAGTTCCGTCTTCGCTCATAGTGCAGCCAGCGGTACATCATATTCGCAGAATTCCTTTTAGCATTTCTTGAGACTTCGTCTTTCTTCGGCTGCTTCCAGTATCTTGGTTTGCCTGTTCTTCCAAAATCCTCCTGCAAAGCTGTTCTGCAATTGGCGTTGGCTATCTGTAGCTCGAGATGTGTTTCATTCGGATCCTGCATCAGAAATCTTCTCAGTGTTCTTCAAAATGCGTTCCAAGTTCTTCTCAGAAATCACTGAGGCGCACTCTCCGCGAGCTCGCAATCCTTTCAGAAGCCGGTCGTAGTCGTACTGGGTCCTTCTCGATGAGCCAGTTACAAATTGATATGAGCGCTTTTAACCTATTAACGTCATAAACGACTTCATTATTTTTTGCGGCATTGTGGCGAAACTTCTTTTCCAGCTTTTGACTGAATCATACGTTCGCTCGAAGGAGGCGGTGATCGGAGCCACTGCAGAAATATGGAACTACTGAAACATCAGGCTCTATCTTCGGTTGGTGAGAATGCGGTCAATCTCCGCGTGAGTCGTTCCGTTGGGCGACTTCCAAGTCCACCGGAGATGTTCTTTCTTCATAAAGGAATTCCCATGGAAAAGTCATGCGGCGGCGAAAAGCCTAACAAAACAGTTGCCGTTTCCGTTCCGAAGCCGTTGTCTAAAATTCCCGATCCTACATTCTTTCTAGTGGCATCCCGATTTTCGCATAGAAGTCGCCCACAACAAACTTGTAGAAGGACTTCTCGTTGCGGACGACCTGCTCCGCGTCTTCGTAGGAAGCTTCTAGTTTTGAATCGTCAGCTACTGATGTTGGTTAGTAGCAGTTGATAATGCTGATGGTCTTCTGACGTAGAGGTCGTAGTCGTAGGATGGCTACTCGAGGTGACATGATCTCATGCGAATCGACAAGATGGACGATAGGTGGGTGGACGACAAAGCCAACGCCTCCAACGTTTCGTGATGAGATCTTTTCACCACCAATGATGAGGGTCCCACCACTCATCCCTCGAACGTCCTTCTTTCTGGACTTCCGTCTCCTGCAGAGCGATGACGTGGTACTTGATTTACTCTGCAGCGTCGAGAGCGTGGTGGTCGGCGTTTGTGGAGACTGTCCTAGCGTTGTAGGTGCAAAGTATGAGGCAGTCTCCATGGCATGTTGTTCAGGCAGACTTGTCGTTTTTGTCCAATCCAAAAGGCGCCTTGGCCTGTAGTAAACCCCCCGTATGTGCTGACGTATAGCTCGGAGTCTGCTGTGACATGTGCTGACTACCATGGAGCGAGGCAGGCAAGGCGGCTATCCTTTATCATTGCCGGCGGTCGCAATCAATGCGAAGCGCCAGGGTAGTCCCACTTTGTCGCTATATGTCGCGACATATCGCGACATATAGCGACATATTGCGACATGTCGTGACGGACGAGACGGCGAAATACTTTGTCCATCATGGAGACGCAGAGACATAGCGCAAGACTAGAGCTCGACTACGCCAACCTCGCAATAGGTCGCACATGCACACGGTTCTCTGTAACGCACGTCAATTGCAATCAATATCAACAGCTGATAAGCGCCCAACAGCGCCGAGCAATGTGCCTTCCTACATTTTCGAAATATTTCCTAAGCTGCACGCTCTGGTGTTCAAAAAAGGTGAGTTTCTTTTGACTAAAAGATGTATTAGATTCATATTTGGTCACATTTTATAATGGTTGCTGTTGTTCTTATTTATTCTCACGATGCATCTCATTTGCGCACCAAATATCCTGCTTATGCCAAAACTCCTTAATGTTTTCCATCTCAGCACTTTCTTCACTTGCTGGTTTGCCATTCCTTAGCTGTGAGCCTCTTGTTTCCCTTCTGTGCTTAAGTGAAGGGACCATCTGGCACTATGGCTGCTGGAATAGCTCATATTTGCCCAGACTAAAGTGATAATTGTTTTATATACTGCTTTTTCCTGTGCATTCTCGATTTGATGTGTTTTGCATACAATTTTCTTTTTACTGCCAGAAAATTTTCAAATTTAGGCTCAAAAATATGAAAATTTGAAGATCCACCACTTGCAAAAAGTTGCTCGAGGCAGGACTTGTACCTCGACATCAACCACACTGACATCCGACACTGACGCTGCGCTATCTGCACTGCTAATCAAAATTGGCTTGCGTGTGCAATATCACGGTAGTTGTGCAGGCGGTTACTACTTCTACAATACTAATATCCACTAGGCACACTGTGTGGAGTATTACACGC